GACGAAAGGTAAAAAAAAGCGTCCCTTTTGCTTAATTAGAATTTGCGTTCGTGTTGCAAATGGAAAGCGGAATCCATCTAGAAGTAGGCGAAAGACTTCCCAAGCACTTTGAACATTTCTTGACTAGGTAATTTGATTTGATGTCGTCACAACGATGATTTCCAGCTCCTCGGGCATTTCTCAATGGGATCTACTTTATCTCCATTGCTCTGCTTTCAGAGCCAATCAATTTCTGAATGCAACAATGTGACTTAAGCGCATTTCGTAGCTGAAAGTTGCACATTTGCAACAGTAAATCGCATTGATTGTGTGGCTCCCTTCTGCTCCCTTTTTGGCATCAAGTGTTAACAATGAAATCGAAGCTGGGTACTCTGGCAGAGAAGCGTTCCTTTGCGCCAACATACGTATGACTGAAAGAACGAGGGATAAGAGCGTTTTCCTCCTTGTGAAAATGTGGCAAATGGTGAAAGGAAGCTCAAGAAAAAACTACCAAACGAAATCCTTTTTCAATTTAGCTGATGAAATGGCATACAAAGACGCATCTGCTGCACATTGTGTGTTTAGTGGTGCTATTTAAATAATATAAAAAGAAGAAATCAGTAAAGACTTGACCCAACCACCAAGAAATACAATTGCATTTATAATTGTATCCCTTTACTTAAGGCAACTTGGCACTTATTTAAAGTTTATCAAACGCACTTTTTCATTATGAAAAATTCCAGATTTTTCTCCCTCTGTAGAGACACTCGTCAAAAACCTGATATGCTTTAATTACTTAAGCAGTCAATGCCACACAGCAACAGCAACATGGCTGCAGCAACATCAAACTGGGAACATTGAACGATGAAGTGGAGACGTTGAAAGAAAGCGACTTGTGTACTTATTTTTAAACGTATTAAGGAAGCGGCGTACCAAGGAGTCGCCAACAACAACAGCAGCAAAAACAAGAACGACGTATAAAGAGTTGCAGTTGCAATGGCATTTGTGTTGAATAAATGATGCACGTGCAACGTGCAACGTGAAAAAGGGGGAAAAAAGGCTTGGGAATGTCTGGTATCGACATTCAGTTGACTGCACTGTCTGGGTTCTTTCTCATTGATTTTCAGTGGTTTTGTACGATTTAAAAATGGGAATCTGGTTTATAAATTAGAAGGAATATTATTTTAAAGAAAAATTAATTTTATAAATTAGTAGGAATATTATTAGTTAGAAAAACCCAAAGATGCTTTGTTTTAAAAACTTTAGCTCTATTTGGATTTGTTTTGTGAAGTTGGCCGCTCTCCAACAGCAAATGGTCCAAGCTTATTAGCTGGAGGACATTTCCACCCCTCTTTATAACTTATTCTGGGCCATAAATTATGCAAAAATCTTTTTTGCGGCAGCTTCGCGCAACGTGTCAAAGCTTAAAATTCTTGTCGGCAAAGTGCAGTTAAGGAAGAGATACAACCCCCTTTTTCGCTGCCATTGGTGACTTAACACTTTCGCAGCTCAAGTTTGGTTTTCCCGCACTTTACTTTACTTTTTGACAGTCATAAATTTGCGTCCAGCATGAATTCGACAGCGAGCCAAAAGAGAAGAACAAAAATAAATGCCCCTGTTTTTCGCGCTTAAACTTTGGGCAGAGAATGCTGCGGCAGTGTTAGTGTCCAAAGGTCCAAAAAGGACATAAGGGGCATGTGGGGCCAAATGAAAATGTTGGGAATCCGTTTTAGCGGAATGAAAACTTCCCAAGCACTTGCACTTGCAGTTGCAGTTGCAACTTTTTTGGTAAAGTCGGATCTTTTGGAACCCCCGCCACCGGATTGTTTATACCCGTTTTGTGTAGTCAAAACAAACGAAAAGTTTCCACTCGAAATTCCCCTATTTAAAGTTTTTTGCCCGTTTTCACCATTTCTCCGTCAATTTCCTAGGAATTCTCTTTGTCGTTCCCGGCGAATGAGAAGAGAAAAAAAATATAATTTTATTCTATTTTTTGGTGTCATTCAAGTCGTGCAGTTTAATAATAATGGTAATTAATGGTAATTAATTTGTTACTTGGTAAATAAAGTAAACAAAAATAAATAAAAAACCGCAAGAAAAGTGTTTTGAAATTTCCATAAGGTATCCCCTTTCATAATTTTCAAAAAATGGCTTTGTATAAAAATGGCCTAAAACATGCTCTTCTGAGCCCATTACTTTTTTATCTGAAGTTCGATTTTAAAATGACATATCTTAAAAAGTTTCTGGTTTAATTCGCTAAAAATCTGCATTTACAAATTGATTTGTAATTTTTGGTCGATTTTTTAGACCTTGAGAGCTTGTGATTTAATAATTAAAACAAACCACTACAAACACATTTTTTAAAAAATGTATCCTTTATCTAACTTGTATCCCAGACTTCTATTCGGTCTTGAAACAGTTTTGAAAAAGTTAGTTGGCCTGACAAAACCTGTTCCGATACCAACATGGCAAATCCATCAATTAACTTCGTTTTCCTGAAGCCCCTTTTTTCAACCTAAACAGTTGTCGCTTGCTGCAGGAAAAGCAGATACAAGGATATGGAAGGGGAAATGGGAAAAACAGACTGCGCATTGATATCAAAGCCACAAAACCCATCAAGACAATTTTTAATGACGCCACGAACAGACGGAACAAGACCCCCTTTTTGCATTTGGCCCAAACAACGCCCCTTCTGGAAAATCCCACCGCCCCGCCTTCTGCCCTCTTCCGATCCCCACACTTTCCTTGATTTTATCCTATCCCCTTCATTCCCTCCTAAGGGGGTGCGATGAATTGCGGATTTTACACAGATAAAAAGCAGGTCGTTATCAATATCTTCCATTTTATCTCCCTCTACCGTTTTTTACAATTGCTTCCATGCTTTATAGTTGATTAACCAATAATATGAACATTAACATTTATATATTTTATTACTTACATATATTAAGTAATATATCAGATTAAACTATTTTATTTAACTATTATATTATCAAGTGATGTACACAAATATAAAGTTTTGACATTTTCGGGATATTAATTCCCTAACATGTGGTTCAAAATTATGAAAAATCATCAATCATATTTAATTTTCTGTGTACCTTGCAGCATTTTACCAACGCAACAAAAACAAAATGTTGTCATTTAGGGACATCCGACCGAATTGGGTTTAAACCAACAAGGACTCTTGATTTTTGCGGTGTTTTTGTGTATATTAATGCGGCTAGCAAAGTACCTTTTAATTAGCATGTTGTCTGCAGTCGCAATTATCCCCCTTGTTCCCACCTCCCCCTGGATTCGAAAATCCCAAAAAGTACTTCTGAATGATTTTTCCAGGTGGCAGGGAAATACATAGTTCGACTTACGACAAGGCTTTTCCTGGCTTCCATGATTAGTTTACTTTTTTAGAGGGCGAAAGGCGAAGGGAAATTTGAGGGGGATTAAGATGGGTTAGGTTCCCGCAGAGTGACTGCAAATAAGCTGTAATACACAGAGGGCTATAATGATACCCCCACAGATGCTTTGCCTTACCAAACTTTCGAGGGGACTAAGCGGTTCGGGTTTGAAAAGAGCTGAAGAAGAGGCCTCTGAATGGGGATTTGCACACAAATGCTTTGAGGTTTTCCCCACAAATGCCATAATGGTTCAATGTGGCCTCAGTTCGAAGAAGTAAATGGCAGGAAGAAGGCATGTTACTATTAAATATATATATATTTTTTTCAAATAGTCGATAATGACAGTTATTAATAAGAAATACATTAAAAATTAATCGGGGAGGGTAGAGTAAGTCAAAACACGAGTACAATACACTCTACGAAAAAACTCAAATTCAAGAACTAATGAAACTTCGATGAGTAAACCGACTTTTTAAAAATGAGTAAAAATGTCCTCTACTTAAAAAGAGGTCATCCTCAAAATGAAAATTCAAATACTGCATTCAAGAACTCGTAATTCTTTTTTACAGGAATTTTTTTTTATACTTCCATCCACTTGCTTTCCACCCATTCAATAACCATCAAGGATTTTTATGTTCATTAGTCTTGAAAAACAGACCAAAATCGGGAGGCCTTAACAGCATCGATAGCTCTGATCATTATTCTTTTTACAATTTTTCTAGTTCTCCCCTTTTCTTGATTGAAGTTTGAGGTTTCACGCTAATTAGATGGCACGCAGGCGCATGACACAAAATGCTGATGACGGCGGGAAAATGCGGGAATAAGGGGGAAAGCAGGAAAAGGGGGGAAAGCAGCGAGTATAAGGTAGCTACTATTGCGGCTATGATTATTAGGCATAAAGTGTTGAGGTTGCCGGTTGTTGTTTTTGTTGACTTGGCCCAGGCCTAAGTAACACGATTTTTCTTCATTATTATTTCTTGGCACGCGATCTGACAAGTTAGACGAGTTATTGTTGGTGCTCCAATGCACTGCAAGAAATACCAAGCAATTTGAGATGGCAAAATAAAAGTAAACAAACTTTCATTATTATATTAATAATTTATCGGAAATTCTTTATACTAAGATAGTTTCTTTTTTATTCAATTGTTTAAGTCTTAATTAAATTTTAATTTAATTAAATTCTAAATATTTAAGTCTTGCCCAAAAGTTTTCTATATAGACCGAAATTTTTTAAAAGAAAAAAAAAAAAATTTGCATTCGAAAATAATTTTTTTTTTGCTGTTATTGGCCATCAAAACCTTCTTTAGGAATATATGGGACCATCTTTAACAGAATTACGGATTGTCAAAAAGAGAATGAAGGGAATCATGGGACAAATAGCTCATGACAATTCGACAATTTTATGACATATTTTTTTCGGTGCAAGTATACATATACATAGACATGGATGTTTTTGTTTTTGCCGGACTTTGAGCTAGTCAAGCAAGCTGTCGCCATCGCCTTCGGATGTCGTGTTATGCGATTTACATCGAGTGTTGTTTTCTAGGGAGCGCTTTTCACTCGACAACCCCCCTCGATGTATAACAATGTGTATATATATAGTTTTAGAAATTATAGTTAATGGCTTACTTGCAATTAGCGAGGTCTGTTGCCGTTGATGCTGATGTTGCTGCTTGATATGACGTCGATTATATTGTCGATTCTTCTTCTAACGATCTGAAAAGCAAACAAACAAACGGAGAAACAAACAATTATTGCCGGTTGAGCTCAATTATCGTTCATTAATCCATTCATCGTAAAAAGGTCGCTATCAATCGAACCAATGAATCAATGTTGCCCCATTTACCGATCATATACACTAACCAGTAGCTGATTTAAAGCTTACAGTTGAATCGGCAGAGACCTTTTCACAATTAACTTAATTATCATTGAATCAAAGTGCAATCGTTAGGTTAATAATTTAGTTTGGAAATTAATGATAATTAAATTTATACAAAACCACTGGCATTTTCGGAGAGTTGTTAACAGAAGCTAGAGACTACTACTAAATATAGTAATTCAATTATATATAGCCCAATTGTCCAATTTGATAAACCATATATCAGCTTTAAACAAATAAAAAGACAAGTTTTAAAATTTTCTGATTTGGTCTTTGAATTCCTCATTTATTTCTAATAAAAAAAGTGATACAACACAAAAAAGTCAATTATTAATCAGCTTTTACCGAATTTAGATTAAATAATTATGATAATACAGTAACCAATTTTTACACAATTTTTTTTTAAACTGGTAATTAACCCAAAATTCAATGGAAAAGACCCACGCTTTCGAGAAGACTATCTTTATAACCACCATTGACGATGTAGCAACTTGCACTACTTATCAGGAAGCCGAGCAATAGATACGGATCAGATAAGGGGTCTAAGCTAATTTTCTTATCTGCTTTTGTGTGCGCCACTTGGATTTTTCCCCAAGGCTATAAAAACTAGTAACTTATGCAGATATATCTAGGCTGAAAGCAACCGAAATTATATGCGCAATATATACAGCTGGGTTATATTAATTTTTTTTTAACAGGTTCCCATGGATTTACTTCTGAATTTTGGAGTAAGACAGACCAGCCTGCAATCTTATCTGCCGCCCATATCCGGCTACGAATCTTATCAGAAGGTTCTACTGTCTGTGAAAGGTGTACAAATCGGAGGGGCGAAATAAAAAATATAAATATGGGAATGGGAAAATCAAAAATCTCAAGTGCATAACGAATGCGCGGCCCAAAAATAAAAAATAAGTAAAATATGTTGAAGAAGTGGGGAGTGGGCAGACATTACATTTTCTGCTCCAAATACGCTTTTCATAATTTGCACACACACACTGGGGAGAGACTTTTCATTTTACTTTTGCCGTACGCGTCGTATGCGCAATGTTTCCATATGTATAAGTTAGACCAGTCAGTCAGTTAGTCAGACACTCATTCAGTCAAGTGAGCCACGGCTTTTTGTTTATTATTTTTAAAAAAGTGAAAATTGCTGTTTTTACTGCTTTTGTTTTTTCTGCTGATACCGATGTTGTCTAATGCAGCTGAAAATTAATTCAAAATTTCATGGTGAAGTGGGCGAGATATGTGTACTTTCACAGCTGGCAGCATTTGTCCACGAATTTAAAACGTTTCGAAAATGGGAATTTATTTTGGGAGCAAGTGAAATGATTTCTTGATAAGATAAGATTTATTAAAACAGTCATTTTAATAGAATATTAAGATCTTTTTTTTATATCAGAGTGATGTTTTTGTACCACTATATTATTCATTTAAATCGCATCTTATTGAGTTAAATCTCAAAAGATTCTCTTTCCAAATTCATTGTATTTCATTCATTTCCACTCCATTTTCATATCCTGCACAATTCGAATCAGTTCCATTCCATTTCATTCTCCGATTTCCGTCATTTTATTCAATTTCGTGCAATTGAACTTGTTATCATATCATGGAACGCACCATTGTTATAAAATATTTCATATCATAGCACCGAAATACCCCAAAAATGCAGCCCGCTCCGAGGGCATCTCGAAAATACGACGCTGAAAAAATGAAAGTTTTGCGTTAATTACGAATGTTTATTAACGCGATTATCGAGCATTAAATGTTCGTTTGAGTTGCCCGCGTTGTTGTTGGCGTTTGTTGGTTTTGCGGTTGGCATTTGAAAATGTATTTTCAGTGTTGACGATTATTTGGAAAACGGTTGAAAGCGATGACATCTAATCAATTTGCGCCGCCCGTCCCTTTTTTCCCCGTTTTTCCCATGGCTCGCTGCATTTGATCGACGGCTGCAGTTTTAATTAAGTGTTTAATTAATGATGAGGCTCTCAAAATTGAAAAGGGGTGGGGAAAGGGGTGGTGGTGCTTTGGCAATTGATTGTGTAATTGCTATCAAAAGAGGGAAATGACATTGCGTTGCGGAGTGAACGAATTGAAACCATATGAGTTGACGCCTTAATTGCAAGAAAACAAGACAAAGGACTGCTAAAATAATTGTAAAAGGGCATGTTTAAAGCTAATTCTGAAACGTTAATTTAGAATTGTTTTGTATGATATATATATTTTTATACTATTACATGAAAAATATAAATATTATAGTTGTGATCAATTTGTCGAGGGTCAAAAAACAGTTTTCTGACTGGAAAATCAAAAAAAAAGTAAACAAAATGGCTCGCTGTTTATCTTTAGTCCTTCTGTTATGAGGGTCCCTCAGGGAAAAGTTGTGAAAGGCGGGAAAAATGGGGAAAGGAAGGGCCCGACCTTGCCCAAGGGTCCCCACCCACTTTTATGTGTGGACCCAAACGTTTTCGAGCATTTTTCATTTGCATTTTCTATAATAATTCGATGGCCTTGACTCTGCTAGAGGTTTGGGTAGGTTGATTTTCTCTTGTTGTTTGTCCCTTATTGCCAAACATTTATTTATTATGGCCTTCGTAATCGTTTACGGCAGACGCAACAAAAGCAAAGAAATTATTCAATAGTGCAAATTTTCGGGAAAAAAATCGGTGGGCGTGTTCATGCAAATGAAAAACGGAATTGTTATAAATTGCCTTGAAAAAGGTTCGGGAAAGTCTTCATACAAGGCAGATATTCTTTTATTTCCTGTCGCATTTTCTTCTGTTCGGCTTTCTTGGCTTGGACCCAAAAAAAAAGTATCTTTTGGATATGTAAGCGATTTGCTTGGAGGAATTTGGGATCTAAGGTGGGGGCAAGAAACAAAGGCGTTTCCCTACTCATAATGTAAATGTTATGGAACACATTCAAATTTGCTGGCTCTTTGACTTTCGGTTGTTTGTGATAAAGCCTATAGTTTTTGCCCCCTCCCGATTGACCTCAAAATAGAACGGTTCCAAGAGTAGGCAGCCAGTCAATCAGCTTCAGGTTTTCTCTGCATGTTTAGGGAGCCCACGAAGAGAACCAGTTCGAGAAACGGAAACCCAACATGATGGATGCCTACACTCGCCGTCTGGAAACCAGTTATCGGGTATCGGGGGCGTGGCAAACAAATGACCATCGCAAAACCCACATTTCCAAGCCATTTATCACGACTAGAAGTCACAAATCTCGTAGCGCAGGAATCTACCAGAAGTCAGAATCTATTAAATCCCGGCTCCTAGCTTATTTAAACCCGACAATCGTTAACAAAAATGTCCAAATGCAAATTATTCATAAGCAGAGCAAATAAACAGCTTTACAAAAAACCCAAAATTAATGTTAGAAGCGTGTCTACACAGAAGGAAAAAAACATGATTTTTGTTGATTCATTTCGGGACTCCTCATATTAATTTACATAACAGGAAAGGAAATTTTCGAGAATTATATTAACCAATCATTTTAAACAAAAATATTTTATAATTTGTATTTGCCAAAACTTTTAAGAGCCCCGATACTAACAGACTCTCTTAATCCTATTAGTTGTATTTTTATTCTGTGACGGTATCTAGAATGCATTTACTTTATTCTCTTTCGATTAATCAGAGTCATTAACCTGAGTAAGAGGACCGACAACTTTTATCTTTATGATATTATTGACTTATCGAATGGGTATTAACTATGTGAACGTATTTTTTATCTGTGTAGGATTTGGTCCCATTTCCCCCTATTGACCATAGCTAACCGAAAGCCAAAAACCGAAGTCCGGCGACCCAACCGCAGCAGACAGACCAATCTGAATCTGAATCCCTGTCCCAACCCCTACACTTGACGCCTGTGGTTTAACCCCTTTTGCTCATTGATAAGCCGCTTAACTGTTTGTGCTGCACAAATATGTTAAGAGGCAGCAGGTTGCGAGGGGGCGTGGCAGTGACTGCTCGGGGATGCCAAGAAATGCTCAAAATGGGAAAAATCACATGTGGATTGATAGGCAAAAATATTTAAAAGAATGGGATTTCAAATAGGAAACTAATTTAAGTATGATATTCGCAATGTTTTTGAATACAGCTAAATTACTTATGTAACAAAAAAAGTGTATAGGCCTAAAAATTTTACAAAATTGATTAATTTACATTCATCAGTGTTATCACACAATGACCATGAAACATTTAGCTTTCACACAACAAAATCCAATTAAAACATTAAAAATTTTGTTTATTGATTTTCGTAAGAAAACTAAATTATCCGTCGAATGAAAGATCGTTTTTCCAATTTGGCTCTTCGGTTTTGGCTGGCCCCCAAGTTGAAATTGCAACCTCCAACGAAAATTGCATTTGCGGGAACCGACCTATCTCCATATTTCCCTTTCCCCTTTTCCGCCCAAAAAATTAAGGTGGGAGGTCTTGTCACCTTTGACATTTCTCGCCGGGCCTTTTACCGCATTGCCTCCCGGGAGTTCCCCGAACCTGAAAAAAAACGGAAAACTTGGAGCGGCCTCAAAAAACGTGCGCATAAAATGGAGGAGAGGGTGCTGGACAAAAAGTTTGAGGGATCGGGGAGTGCCTCAGTGGTTGGTTGGGCAATAAATCTGCCGTCTTTGTTTTGCAGCAGCTGTGCGAGGGAGCAAAGGATAAGGCGAGGGTCAAAACGGGGAAAATGGGAAACTGCGCCTGTTGCGGTCGCAATTTTCTGTTTACATTTTGCATTTCGGCCAATATTCGAACTAAAAACTGGCTGCCTTCAACTGTAGCTGCAAATTAAATGATTTCAGGGATTGGCAGCTCTTGGAAAACCCTCCCTCGCCACG